AGCTTATACTTCACAAATATTAATTATAAAATATTAGTAATTATAGTATTGTTAGCTCTTCACTAATGACATACTTTTCTCTTAGTAGTCCTAGAACCATTTCATTACTCTGATGATTAGTAGTATAAGTGTAAATATCAAGAACGTAAGCATCAAATACTAAATTCAGTTTTAGTGAATATTGAGTATAAATGTTGAATATTTGCTTCTACTTTTCATTGTGAAAAGAGCTCAATAATTCATATTTTACTTTTATATTTGTAGAAAATTATGATTATCTTTTCAGATTAAGGAGAATAAACCTATTTATAATTTTCTATATTCTTATCAGGAATCAAAACTGATTTGTATCAGAGTTTTCTGCATGCATTGATCTTTCCATATAATTTTCTCCTTCGGTTGGTAAATAAATTTAGCTTTTCAATAATAAATCATCTTTAAATTCTCAGTACAAAACCACGATGGTTTATCAATTCAATTTTTGAATATTCTGTTTGATATAATTTTTTGTATTTTGGAATGTCATTGATCATAAATTTATATCTTGTACTTCACTGTTTTGATTTGTTATCAAGGACAGAGTCTGCTGAAGATGCTTCCTTATACATTTTCTGTGGTAGCTCTCAAAAAGTCTTCAGTAGATATTTTTCAGGTTAGATTCTATCTTGGGGAAAAATAATTGCCAAGTAAGCACAGTTATCTTATTTACCCCCCTCAGTTTCTGCATTATTTTGAGTAACTTACATAATTACATATGTTTGTTAATAAACTTTTTTATCTTATGGAAAAGAGTAAAACAAAATTTTGTAACAAAATAATAGGAGAATAACAATTCTTAATATATTACATGTTGTTATCTTTAAAGTAATTGTCAGGGTACATGATATGGGCATAAAAATTTCTCCAATCAGTATCAGCACAAAGCCTCCTTTTTAACGAACTAAGAGATACTAATAGTATAATTGACTTGCATTTTTTTCTGTTTCTCCTTTCATTTTCCTGTTCTGGTTCTTTTTTCATTGTGAGTTATTTCCTATTTCCTAATATGAATTATGTACTTTAAATCTTATTTATTCTTCCAGTTTCTTGCACCAGGAAGAAAATAATGTATTTACCCATGAGTCAGATTTATTTCACATATGAGGATGGTCTCTAGTTGCATCCATTTACATATAAAATCCTTAAACTTATCCTTTTTTATGGCTGAGTATAAAAATGTCACATCTTTGTTATCCATTTCTTACTTGATGGACATTTGGGTTTTTTTCCAAGATTTAAAAAATTGTGCTGCTAGTAAACATGGTGCACACATATCATGGTGGTATGTTTTTAATTCTTCTGGAAAGATACATAAAAGGGCAATAGCTGGGTCAAATGGGATCTTCAGTCCTAGTTTTGGAGGAATTTCCACACTAATTTCCAAAGTGGTTTCATCAATCTGCACACCCCCAAACAGTGGAGAAGGGCTCCTTTTTTCCTATAGCCTTGGCAGCATTTGTTCTACACGACAGCCATTCTTTCTGGAGTGAAATGAAATCTCAGTGTTCTTTTCATTTGCATCTCTTCAATGATCAATGATGTTAAATATTTTTTATATATTTATTTGCCATTTGTATTTCTTCATCTGAGAAGTACCTATTCATCTCAGATGACCATTTTTGGATTGTGTCTTTGAATTTTGAGGGGTCTGAATTTTTTAAATTCTTCATATGTTCCAGATAGAAGCATTTTGTCTGAAGGACAATTGGCTAATTTTTTCCCTAATATATGGATTGTCTTTTCATCCTATTGGTAATTTATTTTGATGTGAAAATATTTTTAATAGCATGAGGTCCCAGTTGATTCTTTGAAGGTTTTCCTGTGCAATCTGGATTTTGTTCATGAACACTATACCTACACTTATGTCTTGAAGATTGCTACTTAATTTATCTCCTAGTAGGTTTAGTGTTTCTGTTTTGTTTTAATGTTTAGGTCTTTGGTCCATTTTCACTTTATCTTAGTTCATGGTGACAGACATGGATCTAGGTTTATTCTCTGGTATATAAAAAGCTGTTTTTACAGTGCTACTATTAAAGAGGATTTTCTTTTCGCCCAGTGGACATATTTGGCACCTTTGTCAAAGATAAGGTAAGTGTGTTTGCAGTTGTGCCTGCATCTTCTAATTTGTTCCACTGGACCTAAGGTCTTTTTTTTTTTCCTGTATTATGATCATTTTATCATGATTATGATCATGATCAT